AACAGTACCGTGTGCCCAGTTTGGACGGCCGCGATCGATGCAAGTACACCCGTCAGATTTTCGTCCAAAGGGGAGAGCGTGTCAGGATTGGCGAGCCAGTCAAGGTCAGCTTCTTCCGCCAAGTTGCACCTGGTGCCACCCTCATGTACGAGGATGTGCTATATGCCTGTGACGAGGATGTCTGCCCCGAGTACACCAAGGATCCACGTAAGTTGAGAGATTACATTTCCCAAGGTTTGTGCAAATTACTAATACTTTCCCTAGGCATCAAGGAAGTCGTTACACTCACCTCCGATCTATCACGCAAGAACCTCGAGACCGACTTCGAGCGCATGGACACACCCCAGGGCATCTTCTACCGTGTCTACTTCGACATTTACCTTACGCTAGATGGCAGTGAATTCAGCGCCGAACTGGTCTGCCAGAACGAGATCATGGGCCGCTGCCGTGCCAAGTTCCGTTGATCTACCAACTTTCGCACACAGGAAACACATAAGAAAACACACATACGCGCGCCATATATACATCCCTCCTGGACGAGGCCCATGGCATCATCGGTGAACAGAGGTGTGACCATGACATAAGTTTTATTGATTTGAATCTCCCTTACATTGGTCTTGGATCGGTGAACTGGTCAAATACCCCCAACCGGTTGATCGGGCATGACTGCACCGGTGAATAGGCGTTATCTGTGTTGATTATTGGGGAATCCCTGTGCCGTTCCTAAATATATGCCACAGGTTGGTGGAACCATTTGTTTTGCCTACTTGTTTTCCTTGGCGATTCCTTTTTTTTTTATCTTTTTTTTTCTTCTCTCCTTATTTTCTTCTCTCGCCTTCTTAGATACCTCTTGACTATTATGTTTTGTTTGAATGATATTGACGAGCTGTGGTCCTCATCTGACTTATAATTTCCACCTCCATCTACATATTTCCACCTCCATGTACTCATGGTCATGAGCATGTATGAAGCACATGCCATGGCATCTAACCTATGATCAAGTTCATCCATTCCACGTATTTAATCTAGACAACAAGTGCAGATTGTCAAGCCTCCCCATTTTTCAGACTAGATCATAGAAAAGAATGAGAAACAAGTCCCAAGAGACAAAAAGTAAGAGTGGTAATACATCCAAATTCATCTCAATCAAGTCTCCAGGTTAATGCTTCGACCAAACCGCGCATACAGTGCAACCTTCAGCTGCTGCATTTCCTCGCGCAGCTCACCAATGGAGTCCTCTAGCTTGGTGACATCTGTGTCGATCTTCTCTGTTGATGCAGAGAGCATTCCCTGCGCGTCTGATAGAGGTAGTTGGAAGAATGAGTCGCCGATTTTGTACCTAGATGGCGCTGTTAGTGATGATCTCTTTTATTTTCTTCCTCTTTGATTCTTCGGTTTCTTTCCAATCCTCCAAGACGAGGATCTAAAAACCGAACATATATAAAAAAGGAAAGGGAAAAAAAAAACGAGATAGGAAGAGGGTATTCCTTACGGCACAAGCTCATCTTCATCAGCAAGTTCCAATTCCATTGAAACCTCTTCCAAGTCCTCCTTATCCTTCTGTAAACCAGTTAGCAGCATATCCAATACATAACAGAAGACAAGGTCCTCAAAAACAATAATCAAAACTCCATACCTGCTTCCCCTTCAACTGCTCGTCAAGCACAGTCTGACGCTGATGCAGCCGACTGAACCGGTTAATCTTCTCCTGATCCTCACGACGGACTTCATTCTCATCATTGGCGGATGTCTCATCCGCCTTTGTGAGCTGCGCGTTGGCGAGGTTAGCTTGAGAGCTTCGGCTTTGGTGGGGTTTGTCGCGCTTGAGCTTGGTGGGGGGGGTTTGGCTTACCATACGCGGCTGCACCATTTTGGCTGTCTTGGAGGGGGAATTTGGTTGGATTTAAACGAGGGATTTGTCTGTTCTTTTGTGTTTTGGGATTCTGTTTTGTCCTCGTTGCGGGTTGGTTGGTTTGCGCGTTTGATATCGGGTTTGAGTGGGTGGTCTGTGCGTGGCGATGAGATGAGTTGATATTTGGAGCTGAGAGAGTATTTATATAGTACATTTACAGGGTGTAGAGTTATCAGCTCTTATTTCTACTTCTTTCCTGGATGTATTAGTTCTTTTTTATTTCTCTTCTATTTTGCTTCTATTCTTCTTTTTATCCTTTATATATATCAGGATTGGGTAGGTCGGGTACTTGGAGTGACATCATAGTCGCTCTTATTTCTATGAAGAATATAAAAAAACCATTTTGATAAAAAGTCACCTAAACTCCATTAATAGTTCTAAATACTCCAGAACTTCAAGGCATCTTCTTCCGAGTTGAGTGTAGGCATCACCTTTCTTAGTTGTCAAAACACCGCCACCGGAGAAACGAAACACCTCCGCAGGAACATCCCCGTCATCGTCACTTTTCAACTTCACAGGGAGACCTTCGAACCAATAACCAGATCTCTCCAATTTCGGGTTAAACCTACTTACTGGTCACATTTGTCTTGTGTACATCTGTCCTCGTGACCATCTCCACCTGAGCTATCGAGCTCCCTCCCGCGCGAAAGCCTCATCCCAGCTTTCATCCGTCCTCCTTCCACCCAACCCTGCGCGACTCTGCCAGTCCAACACCACATTGATCAAAATGCGAATGCAATCAGGCGGAGTTTCACTACTCCTCTCCACACTCCTATCAAGCCTGGCATCCGCGTCCGGCTTCGACTGCGCGCAGATCAAGATCGACAGTTACAAATACGATCTCAGTCCCCTAAAAGGCGTCCATGAGCTGACTCACAGCGTCACCACGGATGACTTCGTCACGAATACAACTTACCGATTGAATATTTGCAATATTCTCGGGGCTTCTGCCCGGTACGAGGATGCGACGTGCGGGACTAGCAAAAACAGTACGTTCTGCCCGAGATGACGCGACCACACCACCATGTTGAAGGGGTCTTCTGTTTGGGGGTGATCACGCTAATTGATGTATTGTTTTTAGTCTGTGGATTTGTGCACCGAATAGCTAAGGACGGAAATGGTGGCTCTACATTCGGGTTCCCGATCGTCGGCCTCGATCCCGTCGGCCAAGGCTCCAAGAACCCAGAACTGAAGCGATTGAAGGATATCGACCCCGAGACCGAAGGATTGCGCGTGAAGCTGGAAGGCGGCTCATACAAGGGAGATGGAAATGACCAGAAGGCCAAGAAGGCTGGCGCTATCATTGAATTCCAGTGTGACCACGAGCGATCTGGACTGGAGGGCCTGCACACGCTTGAAGCAGACCCGGAAACGATGGAGCGACGACGGAGAGCGGAGGGCGAGGAAGGTGGTGCGCCGGCGGGAAACAGCAGCAGTAGTCTGCAGTTCAAGAGCTTTGGTCCGTCTGATGATGATACCTACATCCTGAGACTGGATTGGCGCACAAAGTACGCTTGTGACGAGTACGAGAAGGAGAAGGGTGATGCTCCCGGTTCCAACAGCTGGGGTTTCTTCACCTGGTTGATTATCATGTGAGTTGTTTTTTCCTCTTAGTTCCTAGGATGTTCCTGCCTCTGCATTGAAAACACCCTGCTAATCAATCTATCCAGTGCCTTCCTCTGCATCGCTGCCTACCTCATCTTTGGCTCTTGGCTCAACTACAACCGCTACGGCGCCCGCGGTTGGGATCTCCTCCCTCACGGCGACACCATTCGTGATATCCCCTATCTCTTCCAGGACTGGCTCCGTCGGGTGATCAATACCCTGCAAGGAGCGGGCTCGCGGGGCGGTTACAGTGCGGTATGAAGAATCTTAGCCTGGATAGATTGGTTCCTATAGTCGTTTATACTTTTGGATGAAGATATAACATCTTCTTCTTTCTTACTGGACTGTTTCGGCCGGGTTTCAATGCCTTGTTTGCGGTATCCAAATGTTTCTTGATGAGGTTGTATGGCGCAGATGAGTTTATATGCTTGGCCATGACGAATGATATGATTTCAAGGCCAGTTATTGGGATCTATGTGTGTAAGCTTTGTTCGGTTGGAAAATCACAGGATTTCTTGTAGTATGTAGCCCCTATATAAATACTTGGTTTGCCCGCTTCGTTCAATTTCAACTCCTTGTGGCCGTTTCGGAGAACTTTGGAGCATGTCGTTAACTTCAAACGACGAATTGTATCCTGGGCCATGTCCAGAGGTCTTCAGTGGTAAGTACAGTCATAAGACTGATTGACCTGACTCATCTATCCCATTGCCTAACTAGAGCAATCTGAATGGAAGCAATTAGCATGATTTTGCTGTGACTTCTTTTATGTTTGTTATATCAACTATCGAGTGAGACATTTGAATACTGTTTCTTTCTTCTTGACACCAGATCGAGACACTAAGATAGATTTGGTGTTAGTGTTGATCTGTGGAATTTACTGTTATGAACTATGTTGTAGCATATTCCCCTTTGATATAGTCTAATATAGCTGGCTCGTGAGTCTGCGCCTGGTGGCACTGCCCGTCGTATGTTTGCATACATCAATTGCCAAATCCTCGTATTGAGAATTTTCATTATGACATGAGAGCATTCCAAGTTGGTGCTGCTCAGGGGGTTCTGCATGGCTTTAACTTCGGCGTTAACTGATTGGTCTTGGACGCACGAAAAAGGTCCATTGGGCACCTATGCAGCTTCATGCGCTGTCACTGAGCTAGCAGTGCATCTTATACGGAGTACGTGACGAGTTATTCTAGAGTAAAACATTTCTCTACCATTCCAGGAAGACTGCTCTCTCAACCACCAAGCCATGAGCGACTAGTCCCTCCATATCATTTCTTTTAACTGCATGCAAAGACCACGCCCGCCAAAAGAAAGGGAAAGAAAAAGGGGGAGATACAAATTGGGAGAAATCAACTGCAATGGAGAGCAGAAATGAAAAGTTTTCATTGAGGCAAAGCCTTCAGAGAGGCTTGGAACGCACAAAGAGTAAGGTTTCCCTCCCAGCTTTGATGGAGGTAAACTGACGGTCCATTCTAAAGAACACATGCGCTTCTATTCGGGCAAGAATGCCGTGCCGATAAATAGTTCTAGTCCAGAGCCAGAAGCTGACACTGGAAGAGGCTCACCTGAGAATTTTACTCTGTGGGACGAAGCCTATGATCTTTTGAAGGCAGAAAAGCCTGAACTTTTGTTTGAGTACGAATGCATCTTATCACGAGTACTCGACGAAGGTAGCCAACAAAATTCTTGATCGTCCGGAGCCAAAATGCTAACATCACTGTATAGACAAGCGAACTCCGATACAGCGAGCACGAGATCCGGATAATTCCAACAATATTCCCCAACTCAATATATCAGAACGTCGTGAAATGCTACAGCATATTGCTGAGTCCAGCTTTAAAAAAATGCAAGAGGGAAAGCAAGCGACGTTCTTCGGAAAGAAAATTGTGTGGCAAGAGTCGATAGGAAAGCTCGGGATGGGCATAGAATGGGTTCAGAATTACGCCAAAGACGCACTCAGAGATGTTCCTTATGCGCCCGCTGCTATGGCATGCACATCCCTTCTTCTTCCTTTGTTAACCAGCCCATATAAGACTGATGGTGAAAATAATACGGGGTTTCTGTACGTCTCGTCGCAAATTCGATACTACATCGCGATGGAAACATGTCTACCGTCCGACATTCGGCATGATGATATAACGGCTAAGCTGAAGGAGCAATTGAAAGGTTTATATAAACTTGTGATTGACTACCAGGTGCAGAGTGTGATGAAGTTCAATCGCAACGCCGGAAAGAACTTCCTTCGGAGTGTGGTCGATTATGACGACTGGAGCGGTCTGCTGAAAATAATCCAAGAGGAAGAGAAGACACTCGACAGGAATTTCCACCAAGCTGCAGCCGTGTTAAAACTACAGGACTTTCGGTTAAATCTACAGCACCTTCGTGACCTCAAACAGGAGGCTCAAGAATCACGCGAGCAACTCCAGGATATTGCCAGTTACGCACAGAAAATTGAACAGCACATGTATGAGTCCGAAAAACGTCGTGTGCTGGGAACGCTAAAGGCTACCGACCCTTCGCTGGAGAAACAATCCCTTGAGAAGCGTAAAGGCGGCCTGCTCGAAAAATCATATGGTTGGGTGATTGATAACGAAGACTTTAAGAGGTGGAAGAACGCTAGCTCAGGTCAGCTTCTATGGGTCAAAGGGGATCCTGGCAAAGGAAAAACAATGTTACTCTGTGGAATCATCAATGAGCTTTCTCCAGTACTTACTGGTGACCCCAATATTGCGTTCTTCTTTTGTCGAGCTAGCGAGGAAAGCCTTAACACTTTCTCTGCAGTTCTACGAGGACTAATCTTTATGCTTGTGGAGCAGCAGCCTTCACTAACGAATCACTTCCAAAATTCCTTTGATGGCCATAATTCTTGGGTCGCCTTGGTGGAGACCTTAGCAAGGATCCTCAATGATCCGACTTTACACCCAACTTACTTCGTCATTGATGGGCTTGATGAATGTATTGAAGATCGGCAATTCCTTCTTGACCTGATTGTTGAGCATTCGTCGGCTCATGAAAAGGTCAAATGGATCGTCTCGAGCCGGAACTGGGTGGAAATTGAGCTATCTCTCGGCCGGGTAACGAAAATGACACTTCAGCTGGAGTTGAACGAAGTGACCTTGTCAAAGGCCGTTCACTTCTTCATCGATTATAAGGTCAAAAAATTGGCCGACGCAATTCCCAGGAAACCCGAGGTTTGGAAAGATGTCAAGGACCATCTACTTCAGAATGCCAATGACACATTTCTCTGGGTAGCCTTGGTTTGCGAAGAGCTTGCCAAAGCCAGTAGATTGGGGAGTGTTATGGAGAAACTTGGAGAATTTCCTCCTGGTCTTGAGAATATCTACAAGCGCATGATGAGCCAAATTTCCGAAATTAACAGCTCATCTGATCCTGAGACGTGCTTGTCTATTCTGGGCCTTGTCACGACTGTTCTCCGCCCCATCACGCTGGAGGAAATGATGGTCTACATTGAAGTGCGTGGTGATGTCAATGACGCACTCGATCTAGTTCGACTTTGTGGCTCTTTCCTATCTGTTCAGGATGGCACAATCTTCTTGATTCACCAATCAGCAAAAGACTTTCTCACGAAGGATGAGACATCCAGCAAGATATATCCCGATGGGAAGGAGAGGGTACATTACGATCTATTCTCCAAGTCGCTACAACTTATAGGAAGAACGTTGAGAAGCGATGTCTATGGTTTGAGTGCACCTGGTTATCCGATTGAGCAGGTCCAGCCGCCAAATCCAGATCCCCTACTTGCAGTACGCTATGCATGTGTCTACTGGGTCGACCACATCATATGCAGTAGGATCGATGACACTGAGAGAGCCCTCCAAGGAGGAGAATCCGTGTATTCGTTTCTTTGTCAGAGCTATCTTTGTTGGTTAGAGGCCATGAGCATCCTCAAGAGCATTCCTGGTGCCATTGCATCCTTGCAAAAACTGGAAAAGTTGATCGAGGTATGCATTTACCAGGCTGGGTTGAGAATTATGTTCCATACTGACATTGACATAGAAATGGACATATGAAAGGTCAGAACCCTTGATATACCAACTTAGGGATGCCATCCGATTTGTCCAGTACACCAAGGTCGCCATTGAAAGCAGCCCACTTCAGGTTTACCATTCATCTCTCATCTTTAGCCCCATGGATAGTATCACGCGACAAGGGTACTATGACGGAGTGATTGGAGGAGCCTTGAATAAGAGATTGCCGCTGATGGAGAGGGCTTGGAGCCAATGTCTTCAAACCTTAGAAGGTCACAACGATGGGGTCGTCTCTATCGCCTGGTCTCAGGATGGAAGTCGACTCGCTTCAATGACCAACAGCAGCGCCAGAATATGGAATTTGGGTACTAACGACCGCAGTCTCGTCCTCGAAGTGGATGGACCTTCAAAATCTTCAATCTGGTGGCTAGATGACACCCAAGTCGCTGCGCTGTCGAAAAGTGCTATCAAGGTCTGGAATATAGCTACCAGGCAATCTGAATCAAAGTTTGAGGACCATTCACTCGACCTTTCTTGCATGGCCTGGTCGTATGATCGACGTCGACTCGCCTTGGCATCAGATAAGTCTATCTGGATTGCGGATCCAACTACCGCCATCTTGGTACCAATGCTGGAGGGCCACACGGGGGCTATCTGGGCGTTGGCCTGGTCGCCAGATGGGACTCAACTCACATCAGGTTCAAAGGATGGAGGCATCAGGTTGTGGGATGCAAGTACCATGAAGTGCCTCCGTACCATTCCGAGTTCTGAATGGGTCAGGTCCATAGAATGGTCTTTGGATGGTAGTCGGTTTGCCTCGAGCTCGGCTAATGGTTCCATCAGAGTATGGGATACCAAAACGTGGGAGATTATGTCACTCCATGGCCATAAAGGGTGGGTTGAAGCGATAGCCTGGTCTCCAGATGGATCCAAAATTGCATCAGGGTCCTATGATACGACTGTCAAGGTCTGGAATTCACATACCATGGAGTGCACCGTTACCCTTGAGGGCCATAGTGGCAATATTTGCTCTTTATCCTGGTCTCCAGATGGAAGGCACCTTGCCTCCGGGTCCGATGACAAGACCGTCAAAATATGGGACACAACAATCAAATTTCAGCCAACCAAAAGGGGCCATAATGGACCTGTGCAATCGATTACCTGGAGTCACGATGGAGCCAAAGTGATATCAGAATCAATGGACGCAACCATTCGGTCGTGGAATAGAATTACCGGCGAGTGCACGATTCTCGAAGGCCATAATGGCATACGATGCAAGTTTTTCGGGAATCACGATGAAAATAAATATGCATCAACATTGTATGATGGCGTCGTCCACGTGTGGGATCCGATTACTGGACAGGGCACGCCTTGCGGGGAACATCGCTACGGTGTTACAGACATTGCCTGGTCTCCCAAAGGAACTCAACTCGCATCATCATCATATGATAAGACAGTTCGAGTGTGGAATCCGACTAATAGTCGTGAGTTCTTGGCTTTTAGAGGGCATACCGACGTGGTTGATGATATTGCCTGGTCTCCCAACGGACGTCAAATTGCATCAGCATCAAGGGATCATACCATTCGGGTGTGGAATGCGACTACCGGTCAAGAGGTCTCGATTTGCAGAGAGCATACCAACACAGCTTCGACAGTTTCCTGGTCTTGCGATGGACGCCTACTTGCATCTGCATCGGACCATCGAATCGTTGTATCAAATCCAACCACTGGCCAGTGTATCTTAAATTTCCCTATTGAAACCAGTGGCTTCCTTCAGTTCGATGACACCGACCTATACTTACTCCACACTGGGTTTGGCAAGTTCGATATTAGGGATCTGGTACGTGCCTCGACAAGCTCCAATGACTCAAACTATGTACCAAAGCCATATGGGTATGGCCTCAGCGGAGACCTGTCCTGGATAACACAAGATGGAACTAGGGTCTTGTGGTTACCCCCTGAACACCGACCTGCCGGACTACGTGCATTTGACATCTCAGGAAGAACTGTGGCCATCGGTTGTGTCTCCGGCATCGTTGAGTTCTATAACTTCTAGAATAGGTAGGAAGTAGTTGTCGAATACTAAGTTGAATACGTGGATTTACACATACAATACAAAATTGCATAATACAGTTAGTCATAGTTAGTTAGAGTTCTCAATATCAGCCATCCATACCATATACTATTGTCATACGGCCAGATTTCTGTCAAGTAGAAAGAAAGAAATTTGGGACATTGAAACCCTCGGACCGCCACGATCGGTATTATGTACGGGCGACTAGTTATAGGGATACCGTCACATAACTCTCTTATTGGTTTATATTGCTAGGCAGTAATTTGAACCTACTCCCACTTTACAAAAACTAAACTCGGGATTAGATATAGTTAGTAGTAATATTGAACCTAGATGATGCCTTATAATGCCTAAATACCTATGTACATTATCAGGTCAATGATATTAATGCCTTAGAAAATACGTAACAAATATTGACGCTATTCAAATCTCTTATAATACCTATATATAGAAATGTGATCTATGTGGTTTATGTTTTTTGCCGCCTTTATATGTATATAAAAAATATATATAAAAGGACATATAAGGAGATATCTAGAAAGAAAACTAGAAAGACAACTAGAAAGACAACTAGAAAGACAACTAGAAAGACCCTAAGAAGAAACATCCAAAAAACAAGATCTCTTAGTTATCGCAATGGGACTTGTGTCGACAACTAGCAGGAAGTGGGTGGCTACCACGACGTAACTATAAGCCAACGGCGAACAAGGGGAAACAAGCTGACCAGGGATTTCTTCCGCCATCTTGCCGCCCGTCTGCCCCCGGGCTCCCTCCCGGCTAGCCAACCCTCACTATTGAGACGGGGCTATCTAAATCGTTATCTCAGCTTAGACAAGATGCTATATGGTGGCTGTCTAACTCTTCCGGCGAGGTTCGAAGCGTCTTGGTCATCTCTATTACGAAACGAAAAGATAGAGACTTTATCGAAGTATGACAGCTGGCGCCACCGAACAGCTGCTGGGATCGTAGCACATGACCTTGTTTGTCAGGACTGTCACATGTCAACTACCAGATAGTCTCCTCTCCTCTCCTCTCTCTTCTTCTTTTCCCCTTTCTCATCAATCATCATCACCCACAATCATCATCACCCACAATCATCATCATCACGGTGATCATCAGCAGTTAGCTAGAATACTATTGCATTGCTGATCTCTCTCTTTTCCTGACTCGCTGTCAACAGCTCGTGACCCTTCATAAGGGCATACATTCCAACCTTGTGCTAACAAAGTCCGAACGTCCCCCCACTAGTCCAACAGCCAGCAGTGTTGCAGCATTGCAGCAAGCATACTACGCACACGAGGTCGAGATTTCCGCTAATGGCGTGACTAGTGCCCCGCTCACACTACCATTTGTTGCAGTGTATGGAAGACCGCCGGCACAAGGAGAGGGAGACATTGTCCTTACAGGGCAGGATTTCCTGGATATCACTAGTGATCTGTTTTGATTGCCGGGCCACCCTGCTTCCCAATTTTCACGAACGGAATAAGAAAGACCGAGTAAGATGTCAGTGTATGCTTACATATAGTATGCCTAATACCATATTTTTCCAACATTGAAATTTAGAAGTGTTGTGGTGGCCTTAGGCCTCACCTTAGTGCCGCATGCCCCTCGCAGGTAGTTAACTAGCAGTTTCCTCTCTTCCGTCGCAATCAACTCTCTCCCCCTCACTTTCCAGGCCCTACATTCTGTAGACTGCCTAACAAGAAGGAACCCCAAGGATGGACCTAAAGCCGTCTAGTCCGAGGTCTTTCCTTTGACAACACGGGAATTTGAGACCTGGCATGACCTGTGAAGTATGTAGGTGTAAAAGAGACCTTACTTCAAGAAGACGGTGATAAAATAGACAGTAAGGCACTAGCCAATGAGATATAGTCGCCCGTAATTATGGTTAGTGACACTCCACCCTTGATTGACGCTTTATCCCCCTTAATCCGGTAGTTCCGACCGACCTTCGGACTCCGAGTATGTTCAACGGGTTTAAAGACTGCCCTGCTGAATATGTAGAAAGGGGTAGAATTTGCTGTGTGCCAAACCAATGGTAATAGTTGCCAAGCCGGGGAATTGCCTCAGCCCTCGACCTTCCAAGGTCGGAATTTCGGTGACTTATATTGACGAACGAAACAAACGGAGTTATCTAGGTCAGCACGATATCGCGCCACGCCAGAGGCATTTCCACTGCCGATTCACTTGGCATTCGGTTTCTCCCTCCGAGCCCTATTTGATATCTCCAGGATTGACGGTTGTGCGTGAGGACTGCAGCATCGGCTCCGCATACAGCATTCTTCGACGTTGTTGTACGTGTATCTAGGCGCATCACGTAAACGACACTTGCCCATACACGGGGTATCAAGGTTCCAACTACGTACCACAATACTGCTACCGGTAACCAGCGGGAGAGACTTTCTCCATCTATCTCAAGCCATCTTAGGCCACGATGATCATTGCCTTGTTTCGAGGTTTGCAAGTCACAGCTTCACTTGATAACGACCAATCAGATGAAGCGTCAATATTGTGCAGGACTTCTCAATGGTCAGTCTCTAGCTTGCTTCATCAGATAAGATGAAGGCCCGCTAACAACGCGGGCTTCATTACGCGAAGGTGGGCCTGTCGGAGGAAAGAAATGCACTACGGCCCTGGATGGAAATGATCGGTCCTTCAGCCCTTGTTCCTCTGGTTTTATGTATAAGTATAGAAGTGCCCGGAAATAACGGGCTCCCATAATTGAACTGCTGTGGAGCACTCGTTCCTTTCACAATGCGTTTTTCTGCTTCAGTTGCCCTCTTGGGCCTTGCCTTGCCGTCGGCTTTGGCTCGTTGCCCATATGCAGAGCAGATGAACCTTGAAAAGAGCACGCCTCCCCCGCACGTGCATGCACCGCGCAAGACGCCATCCGACAAGAAAGGCATCTTTTATATGAACCGCATTGCTCCCGGGACGTCAGAGCTGTATGTTGCCAATGTTGATGGCACCGATGAACGTCCTCTTCTCTCAAACCCTATCTACGAATACCATGCCGCCTTTTCCCCTGATGGAGAATGGATCACATTTACCGGAGAACGGAACGCTGACGGTAATTCGGATATCTATCGCGTCCGCACCGACGGGTCTGGCCTTGAGGAGTTGGTAGCAACCTCCTCGGTGGAAGACGGAGCTGTCGTTTCTCCGAATGGAAAGCAAATCGCATATGTTTCCACTGCCAATTGCTATAAGGCCAACATCTGGGTCATGGAGCTGGAGAGTGGCAAGAAATGGAACCTCACAGATACCGCTTCGACTGCTGCCAACAATTCTCTTCCAAATGGATACTTCCGTCCTGCTTGGTCTCCCGACGGCCAGTGGATTGCTTTCTCGTCGGACCGTAACTCGGGATGGTACGGACACGGAGACCCAATTTTCCAAGGTGTGAGCGGCTGGGAACATACACAGGAGCTGTCCATCTACGCTATCCGTCCTAATGGATCTGATTTCCGTCGCGTGGTGTCGAAGTCTGGTTACTGTCTAGGTTCGCCGAAGTGGTCGCCTAATGGTGAGCGTATTATTTTCTACGAGATGACTCGCGAGAATACCTGGAACTCTCACCGTCCCGAGTCCCTGGACTCTTCCAACTCCACCATTGTCTCGGTGAAGTTCGCCACAGGCGCTGACCGCCGCGTGGAAGTCCAAGGAGCGGGTGTGAAGGTCTTTCCTCAATACCTTCCTAACAGCACCGTCGCCTACTTCGGAAAGGGTTCCGGCATCGAAGGATTCCACACCACTGCCGGTGGATATGTAAACACCACCAGTGAGGTGATTCGCTCCCCTGCCTGGTCTCCGGACGGCAGGAAGGTCGTCTATGAAAAGACTGCCTGGACTATCCGCCCTATGGGCAAGAAGCTGTACAGCTGGGACTCGGAATGGGAATACCGCTTCACAGACGTCTTCCCACAGTTGTCCAACACCAACAAGATCGCCCTTACCGAGAAACAGCTTGGAAACTCTTCTGTTGTTTCCTTCAACGCCAATGGAACCCACGAGAGCCTAATCTACAACGACATGGAATCCAGCTTCATTGATGAAAGCTCAGTCGCCATGGGCACCGCAGGCGCCTTCAACCCGGCCTGGTCGCCCGATGGCAATTGGGTTACCTTCGGAGTAGGCTTCTGGTTCCAAGGCCGTGCAACCGGCGGCGGTTGGCTCGTACGAGCCACCGCCAATGGCACGTACTACCAAGTCCTGACCGAGAGTACCACAACCCTCAGCAGCAACAGCAGTGTGATCAACTCCGGCTTCCCTAGTTTCTCGCACGACGGCAAGAAGATCGTCTTCCGTGTTTGGGGAACAAACTCCACTCTGGGCGACAGATCCCAGCTCGGACTCCGTGTTCTGGATCTGGAAACTCGCAAGACTTCCATCTTGACCAACCAGTGGGATAACCTGCCTTCCTTCTCTCCCGACGGAAAAAGAATCGTCTTCACCCGTAAGACTAGTGATTCCAACTACGATATCTGCACTATTAGTCCTGATGGAACTGACCTCAAGGTCCTCACTAGCAGTGGTGCCAATGATGCTCATGCCGTCTGGACTTGGGATGGTCGTATTGCCTACTCTTCTGGCATGTTCGGCTTCCAGTATGAGTGTGCTCTATATGATCAGACTTTCCAGCCTTATGGTCAGGTCCTCGTTATGAATGCTGATGGCTCCAATAAGCGTGTTCTTACTGATTCTATCTGGGAGGACTCGATGCCTCTCTACGTGCCGAACAGTGCCCTCAAGGCTAACGTCAAGGTTCACAAATAGAATGTGCGCAGCACTACCTCGGCTACAGCTGGCTTGGGGGAGGGGGGTTCAACTTGGGTACTTTGGTACTTGACCTCGGGAAGGAAAACTATAGTTATATTTGTACTTCAAGTGATATATTGATGCGTGAAAAAGTATTATGATTATATATAATTGTACCTTCCAAGTCTTAGAAATGACAAAAGTCTTTTTGGTCGAATCTTAATTTAAACAAATTGTTTGAATCTCACAGGAGACATAATCATGGGATACCCAAACGGGAATGAAATAGGGACTTCTATAGTAAATTAAATCTGAATTGAATCTGAACTGAATCTGAACTGAATCTGAACTGAATCTGAACTGAATCTGAACTGAATCTGAACTGAATCTGAACTGAATCTGAACTGAATCTGAACTGAATCTGAACTGAATCTGAACTGAATCTGAACTGAATCTGAATCGAATTATACATACTGTAGAGGACTGTTGTAGTTATACAAATTGAAATTAGCGTATATGTTTCAAACAGGTGGTGAGGTAATAACCAATGACAGAGTTAACTATGTGCCGATGGCGTACTTGATCCCCCGGCCGTACCTGCCGCTAATATAATATCGGGTCATGATTTATTAGCTGCGAAACCTACTCCTCGTCACTATCCTCTTCAGTCCCAGAAACTTCATCTTCCGTACCAACATCCCCAAAAACTCCATGCACCAAAATAGATGGCTATGAGACTCTTTACGACTTCTAGCATGGGCTTGGCTATCAAAGACACAGGCGCTGGTCAGCGGAACACAAGCCAGCAGAGTAACTTTCGGAGAGATCAAATCCAAGCCTATGAGGCAAAGCACCCGACCGAAGAATAGCTCTGGTGTCCTATTCTAGGGGACTATACGGACGAAGATGATATTCAAGCGTCTCACCTATTCCCCTATATGAATGGGCAGGATACCATGGACGCTATATCTGGGAAGACACGACCGGAGGAACCTTTCTCGCCCCGCAATGGCCTCCTTATCTGCAGAAAGCTTGAGCGGTATTTTGATGCTGGCAAGTTTGTCATTGTTCCGGATATTCCCAATGTTCAGGAGAATGCGTGGGTATCTACGATTAAGGGTTGGCTTAGCCGTGAGCCCCGGGAGTACCGGGTCAGACTTATTGACCCCGACTGGGAGGTGAAAGATCAACGGATCTCGCGATGGGGAGAACTTACCTATGGACAACTTGAAAACCGGAAGCTGAGGTTCCGTTTTCGTTTCAGACCTGCAGCCCGGTACCTTTACTTTCACTACTGTGTTCAAATGCTGCGTATGTGTTGGCAACATAGCAGCCAAGGAAAGTCAAGCCAGGCGGCTGCAATTCACCAGGCCGAGAAGGGAAAGCCATTTGGGGGGGTCCACGGGGAGATATCTCCCACGCAATATGCTTTTAGCGCTGGTTGAGGAGATGGGCCATGAGTATAGCTTTGTGCTAGACGGGGCTGCGGGCAGTCGGTCCGATGATAACAACCTTCTCCTCGGACTTCTTTCTCGAAATGACAAGGCACAAGAAGATCTCAAACTCCTTCGAGGCGGTCCATTCTGGAACTGGAAAACCCTGTCCTCGCAGATTCTTTTCGTCTGCTGTTGTGCTTTGATCCTTTCCATTATCATTTTCCCTTCGTCCGTCTTTTCCCATACCTCCTCTACCCCGTCAAAACTTCCAAGTGAAAATTTCCAATCCACTTCTGATCTTTCCAAGCTGATCTTCGATAACCGTAATAAGTGATAGCCATGGCTGCCTGCCAAAGGGAAGGGATTGGGAGTACCCGGTGTACTGCGATCGTGACTTTCGGCCACATAATTTATGACGTTCTGAAATCATCCGACCCTTAACAGACTAGGTAGGTAAAACCAGTTGGTCTATACTGCGTGGTTTCCTTGAGTGTTGTTGAGATGAATACCTTGTTTGTCAGGCTGTCCCCCCACCTAAGTATGTAGGAATTAACCTTTTGTCTTCTTCTCTCTCTTAGGTCCCCAGTAGCTTCACCAAATATCATGGGAACCCTCCACTGGCTTTTTCATGATGAGCCTACTCTTCCTTGGCACGTTTTAAAACTAGGCTCTATCAATAATCTATGATGTGTTTGAGGGAGTATATCAGACTCCTATGGGCTTCTTTCGGATTCATGGTAACTATTAGTCAAAACAGTCAGACCAGTGCTTTACGTAGTTCGTCTTTCAGAGTCTCGCCGCACAGTCCAATTGAAACAGAGATGATAATACACCAAGAGGCGGTGGATGGGGCAGATTTGGCGGTCTGTCTCTACATGAGGATGCCTATTAAAGGCCTAAATAGGAAGGAACCTCCCAAGTAATTCATAAATATCAACAGGCTAATAACACATCATCGTACCCTGTGAATATAATAATAGCTAGTACGTTGTATTCGAATAAGCTAGCAAATAGCAATAACATTCATAGAAAGAAGAAGACACGCAAGATCGTCATGGTCATCAACCAATCCCCGTGGAGATGGCGCCATCCGGACTAATTCGTTCTCATGTCTCATAAAGACAAAAGAAATAATATGGAGTAGGTGGTGCCCCTCGGCTGCCCCTTTCTTCCTTTCCATTCTCATTTCACCCATTTCCTGAGCCTTCCCGTTCTAAACCTTCACGGCGAATGACTTGAGGTACAAGTAGTCGGCCATGTTGGCATCAACTGTCCGGCGGATGAGAGCAGCCTGCTTCTCACCGTACTTCTTCTGCCACTCGGCGTCAAACTGCTCCTCAGTCTTGACAGCACGTTTCTATGAAAAGTGTTAGCCCAAGTCCCCAATACCTGCACATTCCCATTCCACCAGAACAAAGAATGATAAGAAACTTACATGAGTTCTCTGCACCAGAGCCTTCGACTCGATAGCATCATTATGGAATCCACGCCACTTCTCAAATGCATTTCGAGCAACAGTATGTTCCTCCTCCGTATCCCACGTCAGCATCTCCGGTCGGTACGGCAAACCAGTACTGTTACAGAAAGCCTCGATGGTCTTCGCCGGCTCATCGAGCATGTCGTCCGCATCAATGACACACACCTCGACGCCGGTCGTCGCCTCAGCATCAGAAGAGGCGTTCAGCTCCGGGCGCGTTGCAACCCGGGGCCCGACCAATCCAGTCTCCCGCAGATAATCAAAGTGCCGACGCAGCTCGTCGTACCCGGCTTCCAGTGGGTCGTAGTTGTGGAACCCGGTCACCTCGTCCAGAGGTGGGATCGTGCACCGCAGGTACGACGGCACGCTGAAGTGCGGGTCGCGGATTAGGAATGCCCAGTGGAACTGTTCTTGTAACTCGCGAGGCATCACGGTTGGGTTACCCGGCTCTGTGGGGGTGTCGTACGGGTAAGGTTCCTTGGAAGTTCCATTTGTGTGACCGTTGGCTGCACCGTTGGTGTGGCCGTTCATCTCGTGACCGTTCACACCGTTCGCTGTGCCGTTGGTACCGTTCGAGGTTCCGTTGACCCCGTTGGTGTGACCATTCGACGTGGCGGTGTGGCCGTTGGTGTGAGCAGCGCCGTTGGCACCGTTCACACCGTTCACACCGTTGGCCTTGTGCGAGGTGCCGTTGGTGCCAACTCCTCGCTTGACGCGCAGGAGAGACGGGGCGACGCTGGCGGGCTGGCTATTCGGTGGAAGCAGGTAGTGGTCGATATCTTTGATGAAGACTCTCTTTCCCTGCGACAAGGTAAGTATCCCCTCAAAAAGAGCTAATATTCCATCCCGCCGGGCGGATATCCATGGTCATTCCATATTTCGAAGCCAGTCTGTGATCTATAGTTTGTAGAGGGGGAGGGGGAACAGATTGGCTCGGGCAACATCTGCAGTGCAAAATAACAAAAATTGTGCACAGGTAAGGAGTTTTCCTTCATGTTCGATCCACAAGGGAGAACATAAAGAGCATTACGAGAGGGAAGTGTAAAAACGCGACAGATTTCGCAGAAAGAAGGGTCGGACCTGAGTAGTTTCTCGCTCGAGCCTTTCCATCACGGTACTATATGTCGAGTTGGCGAATCCACTATCCAGGCGTGCTTGTATATGTTCATCGCCTGCGAATCGGCCGGAGAGGCGCTCCGGGCCGTAGTAGAATGCATCGCCGAATGGCTCATGGACACATTGGATAGTATCACGCTGAGTCATGAAGACCTATAGTCCGTTAGTTATATGTCTTGGAATGGAATTGTTTGTTAAAATCTCAGGTTCTCTTACTCGCTCAAAGGCCGTTGAGCATGCTCGCGGGTGCGTAGCCACGAAGATTGGCTTTTCTGACATTATTGTATGCCGTACAATATTTAATATTGACCGAAATAACTGCAATCTGCAGGCTCCGTCTTAGGAAAAATCACCAGAGGTAATTGTAAATAAACTTGCAGTGGATCAAGCTTCTGATCAATTATCGCAAGGATGATTCAAATCCGGCCGTTTAAATCTGTGGCGAGATTGAAATTTTCTGGTTTTGGGATGGCGGGTCGAATGCTTCGCAAGCGTCCTATACCAGCGAATAGAGCTTCTAGTTTCTCAGTAGTCCAGTGGTCTCAACTGTAGTGACTATGGCGTGAGAATAATGAAAAAGGGAGAGGAGGGGGGCTAAAACTCTTTAGTTATATGAACGAATGACATAAGGTACCAGGGTTTATTAACCGTTTCTTTTTCTTTTTTCTTTCTTTTTTTTCTTTCTGAATTTAACAATTTTATTTTATTTTTTTATTTTCGGGAGGCGGAGAGTTACCAGACTTGACTATGACTCTGACCCATGGAAAAGAAGAAAAAGAATGGAGAAGAATGGATAAAAATAATTATGGATATCCCTATTAGCCAGATGTTACACATACAATTAGTTATCTATACTAACACCACTTATAGTGTATAGTAGTTATTGTTATAGGACTATGTCACATAGATTAGGACATGTAGTTAACTAGTAACTAGTTGGTTAGTTACTGCTGAACCACTTACATGTAATACAATGTGTGTAGAATCCCCAAACCTCGACTACATCCAGCAATAGCTTCAGTATGCCTCGTTTTGTTGTAGGCAAGGGTCGATTGAAATCGTGAACGCCATCAAGCCACTCGCCCCTCTCTGCCCCGCAGAAACCTTTCCGCTTCTATTTTTTTCTCTCCCCTCACCAGCCTACGACACACGAAACAAAGTAAAACAAAACCCTAGAGGCCACCTCCCGTGATGAAACGACCAATGGGGAAATAACTTGTGGGCAGTTGTGTGGATCGATCCTCAATTCTGGATGCGTTGACCTGGAACAAATACCCACCATCCACGGTCCAGTGCTCTCTTAGCTCCTCAGCTGAGACGGACACTCCTCTTCCATGCAGCCCGGTGAAAGTTGGTTTCCTAAACGGTGATGATTCCAACCGAAAGCGCAGACAGATTGTATATAAAAATCCCTCGGCCCAATTTGAGGTAGATACTTGCAGGGGGTCTGATCCCGGGTAAAGTTCAAGATCGATTTCTTCGAATTCTGATTGCTCTGCGTATATTCCACCTGACGTCATGGACTAACTGTGAGATATTTTCTGTCGGCTATCGTGGAACACAATATAAAAGGGAAGCGACGAATAACAAAAGACAATTCGACCTGTGTAAATAAGTGCCTGGATAGGCGTCAGCGCCACAATCGTAAAATCCAACATACAACATAGCTTGTTCACATCTTCATTTTTGCGGGTAAGAGGAGCTGGTGGAACTGGGTGGTTTCGATGCTCCACTGCAAGGCACGCAAGCTCAAAGTGGCATCAACACCGAATCATCGCTCTAACGTGGGGGAGTCCGATCATCCAAGGGTTCTGGTTTGCTGGTTTGCGCGATTTAATCCGAGGTTGCTGACCTAATCTCGGAACGGATAGGGCTTAGGCCAACCGACATAATAGTCACGTGAAGCACACGTGCCGAAGTTGATTTATCTCGTGTCGGGCACAATCTTCTCATCTGGTAGGCGGTAGCCGTGCCAAGCGCCTGTCTAGACCTATATTGTATATCATCTCCTGAGATCTAGACTATGTAACTAGTTATATTGCTCGGGCTACCCCTTGCCTTATGTAATAAGGCGGTAATTGACTAACTAATTATAGGTATGTATGTCATTATCTGTATCTCACTAGACAGTGACATGCTACACTATGTATGTGGTCCATAGTGTTATCCCGGAGGAATAGTTTCTCCGTTATCTTTGGGTGATCCCCAGCGCGGTCAGGCAACGTCAGGCAACGTCAGGCAGCTTCTAGAAGGCGGTGGAACACAGTAGTGACGACATGGACCTAATGGCAGGTTCGGGCACCACGCGTCTGAAGTATATGAACTTGCATCATTGTGCTTCAAGTTGAGCATTCTTCAAGTTTACCAGCTCAATTACTTTCTACTCTTACACTACCACTTCGATCCTACCCCTCCAAACATCAGCGTCTTCAACTATTGATACTACCCCACTCATCCGTTCAAAATGAACGGCGTCCAGTTTACAGATCGGGCCAACAAGGCCTTGCTGGACTCCAGCGGCCTCTGCGAGCAATATGCACACTCCCAGATCATGCCTCTTCACTTAGCAGTCGCGCTGCTCAACCCCTCACCAGATGAGTCTGAAGATCAACAAACTCCTTCTGGTGCTCACTCCTCCCACGACTCCGCAACCGCGCCTCTCTTCCGCCAGGTCGTCGACCGAGCTCACGGCGACTCTCAGCTCCTCGATCGAGCGCTGATGAAGCTACTGGTCCGCCTACCGAGTCAAGACCCTCCTCCAGAAAACCCTAGCGTTTCTCCCCAACTCTCCAAAGTCATTCGATCAGCCAGCGATTTGTCGAAAACACAAAAGGACAGCTTTGTTGCGGTTGATCATCTTATCCAGTCTGTCTGCCAGGATTCACAGGTTCAGCGTGCTCTGGGCGATGCCAATATCCCCAACCTCAAGTTGATCGATACTGCTATCCAGCAAATTCGTGGTACAAAGCGGGTCGACTCCAAGACCGCCGATGCGGAAGGAGAGAATGAGAACCTGAAGAAGTTTACCATTGATATGACTTCCTTGGCCCGGGAGGGTAAGATCGATCCGGTCATTGGCCGTGAGGAGGAGATCCGTCGCGTCATTCGCATTCTCAGTCGACGCACAAAGAACAACCCCGTGCTTATCGGTGAGCCCGGTGTGGGTAAGACCACCATTGTCGAAGGTCTCGCGCGCCGTATAGTCAATGCCGATATTCCTGCCAATCTGGCTCAGTGCCGTCTTCTCTCTCTCGACGTTGGTTCTCTGGTTGCGGGCAGCAAATACCGCGGTGAATTCGAAGAACGTATGAAGGGTGTGCTCAAGGAAATTGAAGATTCCAAGGATACCATTGTTCTCTTCGTCGATGAAATCCACCTGCTCATGGGCGCTGGATCCAGCGGTGAAGGCGGTATGGATGCTGCTAACCTTCTCAAGCCCATGCTGGCTCGCGGTCAACTGCATTGTATTGGTGCCACGACCCTCACTGAATATCGCAAGTATATCGAGAAGGACCAGGCCTTCGAGCGACGATTCCAGCAGGTCCTTGTCAAGGAGCCTACAGTCCCAGAGACCATCTCTATCCTTCGTGGTCTGAAGGAAAAATACGAAGCTCACCACGGTGTCAACATTCTCGACGGAGCTATCGTCACTGCCGCCACTCTCGCGTCTCGCTACCTGACGGCTCGCCGACTCCCTGATTCTGCGGTCGATTTGATCGATGAGGCTGCAGCTGCAGTCCGAGTCACTCGCGAGTCCGAGCCCGAAGCCCTCGACACACTAGAAAGAAAGGCTCGGCAGCTTCAGATTGAAATTCACGCCCTTTCGCGTGAGAAGGACGACGCATCCAAAGCTCGTCTTGAGGCTGCCAAACAAGAAGCTGCCAATGTTGGCGAGGAGCTCCGGCCGATGCGCGAGAAGTACGAAAGTGAAAAGCAACGCAGCCGCGAAGTACAGGAGGCCAAGATCAAGCTTGACTCTCTCAAGGTCAAGCGTGACGAAGCCGAACGTTCAGGCGACACCCAGACAGCTGCTGATCTCGAATACTACGCCATCCCAGAAACCAAAACTCTCATCGAGCGTCTCGAGGCTGACCGGGCCAGAGCCGATGCTGAACGTCGCGCTCAATCAGGAGATGCCGGCGAAGCACTCCTTGCCGATGCAGTTGGCCCCGATCAGATCAATGAAATTGTTGGTCGGTGGACCGGTATCCCTGTCACGAGACTCAGGACCACCGAAAAGGACAAGCTGCTCAACATGGAGAAATACCTTGGCAAAGTTGTTGTCGGCCAGAAGGAAGCCGTTGTCTCGGTATCCAACGCTATTCGCTTACAGCGCTCAGGTCTCAGTAACCCCAACGCGCCCCCAAGCTTCTTGTTCTGTGGTCCGTCCGGTACCGGTAAGACACTGCTCACAAAAGCCCTTGCCGAATTCCTCTTCGATGATCCAAAGGCAATGATCCGGTTCGACATGTCTGAATATCAAGAGCGCCACTCGCTCAGCCGTATGATTGGTGCACCACCCGGATACGTTGGCCATGACGCCGGTGGCCAACTTACTGAAAGCCTGCGTCGTCGCCCATTCTCAATCTTGCTCTTCGACGAGGTTGAGAAGGCCGCAAAGGAAGTTCTCACTGTCCTCTTGCAGCTCATGGATGATGGCCGTATCACCGACGGCCAGGGCCGCGTCGTCGACGCAAGGAACTGCATTGTTGTCATGACCTCTAATCTAGGTGCTCAATATCTCGCCCGCCCCACTACCAAGGACGGCCGCATCGATCCCCAGACCCGCGAGTTGGTCATGGAAGCACTGCGCAACTACTTCCTGCCTGAATTCCTCAACCGTATCTCCAGCACCGTCATTTTCAACCGTCTCACCAGGCGCGAGATCCGCAAGATCGTGGATCTCCGTCTCTCCGAGGTGCAGAAGCGGCTCGATAGCAACGAGCGCAATGTCAGTATCCAGTGCACGGATGAAGTCAAGGACTACCTCGGCGCAGCAGGCTACTCCCCAGCCTACGGTGCTCGTCCACTGGGCCGACTCATCGAGCGCGAGGTCCTCAACCGTCTCGCTGTGCTCATTTTGCGTGGAAGCATTAAGGATGGCGAGGCTGCCCAAGTCGTCATGCACGAAGGCCGCATCGACGTCCTGCCTAACCACGATATTGGTGAAAGCAGTGACGATAGCGATGATGATATGATGGACGATGATGATTTCGACGATGAGATGAATGATGATCCCGTCTCCCCTGATCTGTATGATTAAACAGATCTGTATTTTC